GGAACAATTTCCTCAATGAGTGCGACACCACCCACGCCACCTTCAAAGAGTTGGACACGTCTATGACAGGCCTTCACACCAAGGCTGACACTGCTGGGAACCTCGCTCTCAAAGCTGTGGAAGAGAACAAACAGCTGAAGGCGGAACTGGTCACTGTCAATGCGGACCTGGAGGTTCTCAACCGGAACAACACGGAGCTTGTCAAATGGTACAAGGAACTCGCAGCCAAGTTTACACAGTTGGAGCAAGGCCTGTCGACCCGCACCACGCTTGGTATCAGTACCACCCCGGTCCCTGTCGTATCACAGGCCTTGCGTATCAAGGCATCAGAACCACCCAAGTACAAGGGAAACAAAGGCTCGGACATCACTCTCGAACAATGGTTACAGAAGATGGGCCTTTGGTTCCGTGTCCAGAACATCACCACGGACAATGACAAGATTACCCTGGCCCTCATGTACTTAGAAGGCGGTGCGCAGGACTACGTCGAGGACTACGTCGAGACAGCATCGAACGGCGGAAGCCTTGGATCCTGGACCAACTTCGTCAACCGACTTAAGGCAGGCTACTGTCAACTGGCTCTGGAGAAGACGGCACAAACATCACTGGATGAGTGGTGCTCAAAACCTCACTCCACGGTCATTCAGTTTGCCGAGAACTTCCGCCGCTACGCATCAAAGTCTGGTTACACTGATGTAGAACTCATCCAGCGCATCGACAACCAGGTCGGCAAGAACTTGCAGATCCTTGTGGTTATGACGGCAATGCGGCAAGTTAACCCGATGGTGATCCCGACAAAACGGGAACACTACCTGGACTGGGTGCTTGAGCTGGAAATAAAAAGTCGTGGAAACCAGGCCAAGTCGTCTTCGCAGCAGCACACGACTAGTCGCCCCTCACGGGACCCCAACGCTATGGATGTCGACGTAATGTGCAAGCCGGAAAAGCTCTCCAAGGAACAACTCGAATGGCTCGACAAGAAGCTCTGTTTCCGCTGCGGCAAGCACAAGTTTACGACAGGCCAGAAGTGTCGCAACCCTCAGTATACGGGTTACTACAAACTCCCGGACATGAAGAAGCAACCGGCCGCTCCGACCAAGGTACGCACGATGGACACGGCCGATGAAGACAAATGGGAGTAGATTCGCAGGGCCCTCGAGGAGTTTATAACCGCCAAAGAAAAAGGCAAGGCACCGGAAACCGAGACCACCGCACACGTCGTCGAGGTCAAGGAATCTGAGGAGGATTTTCTGGAACAGGTACTTTGAAGACTGACCAAAGTATCCGACTCTGTAATCATAGCGTAGACCTAGAGGACTCTTTTGTTCCGCGTTCAAATGTGATTTATCTCGCATCAGCGAAATTCGTTCGATCTCAAAGTTTTCCTCACTCAAGGTACGCATGAAGTTCAGTCAGAAGCCCTCCTCGATTCAGAAGCCTACTCTTGTTTTATCCACCACCGGTTTGTTCAAGAACGCGGACTCACCCTACGGCGTCTCTCTCGTGATGTACGCGTCTTCAATGCAGATGCCACTGAGAATAAGAAAGGGTTGATCACTAACTATGTCTGTTGCCTACTCCATATCGGAGACCACCTTGCTTGGCAGTCTTTCCTTGTCACAGACATCAGGTGGCAAGACATCATCATCGGCATGGCGTTCCTACGTGAACATAACCCTGAGCTCGATTGGAATGCGGGGAACATTGAGTTTACATGCTGCCCCTCAACATGCACTCGGCACACAGTGCAGGACGAAGAATTACGGAGTTTACAACTTCCCCGAGTGGAAGATGTTGCACAAGATCAGTACGGTGACCTCGGCCCCGAATCCTGGGAGAGCACTGATCAGTTTATTCATTGGGTGAACTTCTCCGATGATCCAAGTGCTCGTCAGATGCGAGCCAGGTTAGAAGAGAAAAAGGATACCAATCCTGCAGCAAAAGGCGAACAAGACCGCGGATACTGGTCAAACCATGTACCAGAACAATACCGGCAGTATGGCGATGTCTTTTCCAAGAAAGCCTCGGAAAGAAAGCCAACACGGAAGCCCTACGATCATGCAATCGAACTAGTCCCTGGAGCCTCACTCCCCAAGCCGGCCAAATTGTACCCGCTCAACCTCGATGAGCGGAACTCGCTTGAAGCTTGGATCATGGAGCAAGAAGACAAAGACTGCATCTGCACGTCCAAGAGTCCTACAGCCACCCCCGTCTTCTTTGTCCGTAAGAAAGATGGGAGTTTACGTTTGGTCCAGGACTATCGCGCACTGAACGCGGTCACAAAGAAGGATAAGTTTCCGATCCCCCAGATCTCAGACCTTGTGGATAGGCTTTCGCACGCATCGATCTTCACCTCACTCGACCTAAGGTGGGGCTACAACAATGTTCACATTCGCGAAGGAGACGAAGAGAAAGCCGCATTTATCACTCACAAGGGACTGTATGAACCAACAGTTATGACCTTTGGCCTATGCAATGCACCCA